TCACCCCCTGCAGTATTCCTAGCTCCACAACCCAGCCCACAACAGGCACTCCCCAAATCAGAGTATCTCTCCCAAGTGACCCGGCAGCCCGAGGTCCACTGTGTCATAAACAGCTGTCTTGAGACAAGACACGTTCAGATACTAAACACAACAACAAAGTATTACAATGTGAGGCGACTTCAAAAGTTCATGGGAAACTTCCATATCATTTCCACCACACCACCCCCATTATGGAGTCCTGGTGTGACGCTGTGGGCTAATGCGTCAGACAACAAAGTCGTTTGAACTGCAAGGTCGGTGGTTCAAGCTCACCAGCTGCTCCTTGGAAACCCTATACAGGGTTGCTATGGGTTGGAATCGACTAGACGGCATTTAACAACAACCCCCATTATATTTAAATTGGAGTCCTGTGGGGCACTGTAGGATAAGCACTGGGCTGCTCACCAAAGGTCGGTGGTTCAAACCCACCAGCCACTCCTTGGAAACCCTATATAGGTCACTATGAGGTGGAACCGATTCCACGGCATTTAACAACAACCTCCAATAACAATCTCCCTCCTACCCAGTTACAAAAGTAGCTGGAGAAAAAAGATGGAGACAGCCTAAGTGCCCATTTATGGAAGAATGTATAAACGAACTTTGGTACAGACACACAATGGAATACTATGCAACCCTGAAGAATAACAAGGAAGCAGAAAACCACTGCATAACATGGATGAACCTTGAGGACATTATGCTTAGTGAAATCAGTCAGCCACAAGAGGAGAAATATGGCATAGAGCCGTTATTGTAAAAGATTAAGAAAAAGTACCCACATTGAACGGGGGGAGAATGTTTATCTTTTATTTATTTTATTTTAAATTATTATTGCTTTATTTTTATTTTTTTGTTGGCTACCAGGGCATATGGGGTGGGGAGAGGGGGGAGGGTGGGGAAGGTGGAGTACAGGGTAGGGGAATAGACACAGGATAGTGGAACACGGGTATGGAATAGACACAGGATAGTTTGGTGCTTGGGGAGGGGAGGGGCAGTACACTCGAAAGGAAAGGGGAATGGAAAAATAAGGCAGATGGGAGAGTAGCTAGGCAGGTTTACATGGGCTAAATGGGACAGAGGTAAATAACGATCTATGCACAAATGTGGAACAACAGGGCTCGTGGAGGCAAAGACTGAGGCATGGTTTGAATGGGTAAAAGTGGGGAAATGATGTTAAGATGCTTGACTGTCTGTTGAATCTTCGTTTCCTACTATGTAAAATAGACACTTGAAGGGGAGAGAGAGGAATAGCCAGAAACATCACCAGAGAAAGCTTGTAAGTCCGTCTTCAGCCTATAACTGTTTGGAATAACTAAAATGGGGCTAGAACTTGCCCAGTGAAGGAGGCTCCCTGCAGAGCCTTTGTATTGCACAAGACCATAGGTGGAATCCTGATCATCATCCAGAATCTTCTGAGGTGGGACATTCCCACGTGAAAGGACAAGCAAACTAGTCTGGAGCAGCTAGAAGAGCAGAAGATACTTCTTGAAAGAAAGACCCGCAGAAAACAAAACAAAAACAAAACCAACAGCAGTCAATCGACTACTACAAGAACAAGCAAGTTGTTCCCCAGGGAGCCATCAGGGCAAGTGGTCACGTCCCTCAAGGCAAACCCCCAGGCAAGACTGAAACTCAAATGGAATACACTAGCAGGCATATGGTCCTGCTGCTGACCCGGTTGGTCACGGATAAGGGGACGAGGGGGGAAAACAGCAATGAAGTTGTGAACTAAGTCTGACCACATTCTATAGACTCCTGTTAACCTGGATTGAGATGGTTAACCAGTATGACGAGACCTGAGGACTCCTGGGCTCAGGAGCAGGGATATGGCCCTAGAGGACTAGACTGGAGTGTGATGCATCCACCTGATATAAAGTGAGGGGGAGATGCACAAGAACACCCATAGTTGCAGTTAGTACCCATTTGACCTGGCATCAATGGCTCGACGATCAGAACACAACTAGAGGAAGAAAGAAGAGGGGACAAAAAAAGCAGTAACCCACTATAAGTGGATGATCTTGACCTATGCTTGTGGATGCAGTATGACAAAGGAGCGGACAAATCTCTACAGTGAGGATCATTCCCAACCTCTTAGTACACAGGGTCGACAGCGAAGGGGAACTTAGACACGACACTGGCTACCCAAAATGGGGGGACTACAAAGGCAAGAAGTGACTGGCTTACAAGCTTTCAACAGAGAACCTAGCTCCAGAGGATACAGGGAAAGGTAGAACCTCCACTGAATATTTTCCAACCTGTCTGGATGGGGTTAATAAAAGGTGAGGGGGATGGGGGAAGGACTCCTGTGGTTCAATAGGGAATGATTACCATCAGGTCTGACAGTGAGTGTTGGAAAGGCAAATGTAAATGTCTGGCATCAAAAGGAGGGGAGCGGCTGATTTTGCATTCCAGGAGCAGATATCCCTGGAACCATCAAGGGAGAAAAGCGAAATGAGAGACCCTGTCTGGGGTGGAAGTGACACTAGGGATGGAGGCAGAGGCAATGACAGAAGGAGCGGCTGGGGACTCTGGACTCGGGGAGGGAGAGGGGCTGTGTGCTGGCCGCCGGGAGGCCGGAGTGTGGGGTGTACCCTTTGGGTGTTTGATGATGCATGCAGGTGATTGTGATCATTGCAATGAAACAAAATACAATAGGATGAATATAAAGATAATGTTCACCCATGTGAACTAACACATAATTCACAATAAAAACGTAAAACAAAACAAGCAAAAATAAAAAAATAGCTGGAGAACAAGTTTCCAGACCCTTTCCCACCCAGGGACTTTGTGTCTTCTGCTATTCTAGGTGTCCCCCACACACACACACAGTGGCAGGTGTAGGGGCTTCATTAGACTAGTCTCTGTGCTCCTGCATACTTCATAGTAAGAATGAATAAAAGTCAGCCTTGTGCCAACACTGAAAGGAGGACAATGAAGAGTCATGTCACTCCCCACTCCTTGTCTTGTTCACAACAACTGCTGCTACCAACCGCTTTCTTCATCCCTTTGGGAAAGGTTTGTGCACAGACAAAAGCGTGTATGCTTTCGTCCTTTAAACACATGCATAAACACACAAGGTAGTCTGTACCGCACCTTTCTCTTTCCCACTTGAGACCTTAGAAACCTTTCCTACGGAGCAAACACAGACCTCCTCAGAAATGGATTTAGCCAAAGTTCACATTCAGAAGCACTTCTCCTGTCCTGTCTTTGCCAAGTGCTCTTGTGGGTGGCACACACACAAGACCTGCCATTACTGCAGGCCTAGGACCACTGGGAACTGGGGGTGCTGGGGCCTTGTGGCTCTTTCATGAACACCCAGTTTGCTGTATCTCTGTTCCTTACAACCTCCTAAGCAGCCCCTGAGCTCCCTGCCCACAGAGCACCTAGCATCAGTTGCTTGCAGAGCATTTGACCCTCCCAACACCTGGACTCTTAGCGGCCCTGGAAGGGAGTCACAGCTGTAAGCAGAAGACTCCCATCCCTTTCCTGCCAACAGACAAATGTTTCCAGCTTCCAGGTCCCTGCAAGAGCAAAGTACATCTTCCCAAGGCTCCCAGAATCATCCCAAGCCGTAAACATGGTACTTGTCTTGACTACACAAAAGGCATCAGGGAGCTGAAAAGAATTACTGCCGTGTGAAACTGCTGAACAAAACAAAAAATTATTTAAAATAATAATAATAAAATAAAGACCAGGCTTCAGGGTCAGAAAGAGACGAAAGAACCCAAGACTATGGCTCTTGGTCATCCCTCAGGTCTGAAATGGAATATATATCACCGTGGCTCAATTTTCTGCCAAGCAGTAGATAGGAGTATAGAGGGTAACAGTACCACTAGTGAAGTATGCATGCCGTGGACTGGCCAACCATTCAAGATCAGAAAGGACAGCACTGACCTAAGACCAACATCCAGAAGGATGGGGAGAGACAGGGGAATGGAGACAATAATCACAGGGAGGAAGTAAGATAAGTGAAGTCTCATGGAGGAACTGCAATGGAGATGGGAATGGAAGTGTATGATTTGATCTGCTCTGTAAATCTTCACTCAATCCACAATAAGGTTAATAAAAACTTAAAGCAAAAAAACGAGTTACCCCTAGAATGGTAAAGGAGGAAGACACTACATTCCTTACAAACAAGCTGCTGGCCAATGGTGTCTTTGACTGCATTTAATGGGCGGTGGTGGTGGTTGTTAAGTGCTGTCGAGTTTGTTCATAGCAACTCTGTATAGGGTTTCTAAGGAGCAGCTGGTGGATTTGAACTGTCGACCTTGTGGTTCGTAGTCTAGTGCTAATCCTACAGTGCCACACCAGGAACACAGTGATGAGTACCCCAGATCACATCCCTTTTGTCATAAGTCCTGGTATGGTGCTGTGGGTTAAAGCACTGGACTGCAAGGCTGGTTTGAACTACAAGGTCAGTGATCCAAGTTCACCAGCTGCTCCTTGGAAACGCTATACAGGGTCACTATGAGTCAGGACCTGACTCGACAGCACTTAACAACAACAACTAGTCAGAAAGGTGGCCATGGCAACAGAAAGACTTGTCCCTTCCTTTCTGACTTCCTTTTCTTTATACACTCAGCAAACATTTACCAAGCATCAAGTTAGGCAGGGAAGGAAACAGACCCGTGTCACACACACACACAAAGGCAGAGAAATCAAACATGCAGACAATAGCTGGACTTCCGGTCACAATGGCTGACTTAATCGAGACAGCTGTCCTACTGTCCTTGGCATCACTTCCCTATCAGACTCACAGGCTATCTGAGTGAAACGCTGGTTTTTCACATAACCAAGCTCGATGCAAAAATAATCAACAACAAACAAACCAACAGGTTCCCAAAGCTAAAAGTGAGAGCCAGCAAGGAAGCTGGGCAGGCCTGGGAGTTTAGAGGCCAGATGGCTATGCCTCAAGGTTGAGGCTGGGCTTGCCAGGTGAGGCAGTGCAGCCAGATTGCACCTACTTCAGAAGGTTTTCGGCTCCAGTTCTCATCCGCACAGCTTTCAGAATCTGCTGGTTCAAGGCAGCCCTCTGATTCTGCAGTTTGCTCCGGCCAGTTTGTGCAAGGGGATTACAACCCTAAGGGAAAATGAGACAAGTCCTGTTAGAGGTCAGCCACTTCAAAACAGATGACAATGTTTACCATAACAGAAAATGTTCAACTCAAAAACCCCCTCATCTGTTCTAAAAATAAGAGCAATGCCAATCTAGAAAATGTATAAAATATTGAGAAGAATATGAAAAAATGAAAATCAATATTCACAATCCTATAACTCCAATATACCCACTGTGAACAGGTCTCCTTTCCTTCTCCTCTGTTTGATATGCAACCAGTGGCAGCTCCACAATCAGATTCTCTAGAAGAACTCAAAGACAGCATAGAGCTGTCCCCACAACCTCGCCACATTCTGACTCACAGCATTCCTGTAGAACAGCTGAATTCCTCTTTAGAGTTTCAGAGACAAGAGATCTTTCAAAGAGCAGACAGCCTCATCTTTCTCCCAAAGAGCGGCGCTGTAGGATAAGCACTAGGCTGCAAGATCAGTTTGAACTGGTGGTTCAAATCCACGAGCCGCTCCTTTGAAACTCTATACAGGGTCGCTAAGAGTAAGAACTGACTTGACCAGCACTCATCAACAACACCGTGCGGTTAGCAGCCACGGTTAAGATTTATACAGCTGGTTCATAAGGCACAGGCCCACTTAGGAGGCTTCCTTACACTTTCTCTTTCTGCGAGGGGTCACCGAGCACATACTCTCCCCTCAGCAACAAAAATACATGTGTGTAATGTCTCTGTCCTGGTCAGTCAATTAGAGGATCAATGTCTAAGGTCTTTAATGGGGCAAAGGCAGAGTCTTGGCGTGGTACTGAAATAAGTACTGGACCACAAGGTCAGTTTGAACCGTAAGGTCGTGGTTCAAACTCAGCAGCCGCTCCTTAGAAACAACAAAATGCTATCATTAAAATCATATTTTGACTGTTGGTGTTAAATACCGTTGAGTTGGTCCCTACTGTATAGGGTTTCCAAGCAGCGATTGGTGAGCTAGCATTTACCATTTTCTTGTAGTTGGATATTTAGATTGTTTCCAAGTACTTGCTAATATGCATAATAATTTGGCACATGTTTGTGAACAGGAATCTTTTATAAATCTTGGTGTGGTTTTTTTTCCCTTAAAGGTATATTTCCAGGGCAGCATTATGGGGTCAAACCTTTTTGAGGTTGGCTTCGAGTGCACCAGCCCAATTATCTTCCAGAGAAGGAGGCACACAAACGTACCCACTGCGTTCTACCTGTCTTGTCTTACTGGTGTTAAGTCTGTTTTTTTTTTTTTAAATAAAAGCTTTAGGAAGATACGATTCACATTCCATTAAATTCACCTGTTCCAAGTGTACGGTCCACTAGGATTTAGTAGATTCATAAAGTTGCACAGCCATGATCACTTTCTGGTTTTAGAATATTTTCATCACTCCATAAAGAAACCATTCTCCACCAGGAGTTGACCATCCCCACAGCGCCCCCAGAACCACAGATCCACTTTCTGTCGACAGATTTGCCTACTCTGGACACTTCACATAAATGGAATCATACACTCATATGTGGATTTTGTGATGGGTTTCTTTCACCTAGCATATTTCCAAAGTTCATCCGTGCTATAGCGTGTACTAAGGAGCTCTGGTAGTGTAATGGTTACAAGTCGGGCTGCTAATCTCACAGTCAGCAGTTCGAAACCACCAGCGATTCCATGGGAGAAAGATGAGGCTTTCTGCCCCCGTGAAGATTTCCAGCTTCAGAAACACTGTGCAGGGTTGCTATGAGACAGAATGGACTCAACGGCACTTAACAGTCCTTGATGGCAGATGGCGTATTATGAGGCGATAGAATGAAATGACATACTAACATCTGCTATAGCATGGATCAACTTTGTTGTTGTTAAATCCAGTATACTAAGTGAGACAGTATACCACTGGAATCCTAGTATGGTACCGGAGGATAAACACTGAAGTTGGTGATTCAAACCCACCAGCCAGTCCTCAGAAACCCTACACAGGGTTGTTATGAGTTGGAACCGACTCAACGACACTTAACAACAACGTTAATATGCCAAGAACAACAAACCACATTTTGCTTATCAAGTCATCAGTGAATGGACGTCTGGCATATTTCATCTTTAGGCTATTATGACTAATGCTGCTATAATAGTGTGTGTGGACAGACATATGTTTCCATTTCTGCTAGGTCTGTACCTAGGAGTGGAATTGCATGGTGGTGCCGTAGGATAAACACTGCACTGCTAACAACCAGGTCAGTAGTTCAAGCCCACCAGTCGCTTCATTCGAGAAAGATGAGGGGGTTAATATGAGTCGGAATCAACCCAACAGCAATGGGCTTAGTTTGGTTTTCGAATGGTTAATTCTGCGAGGCACTGGTGGCACAATGGTTAAGTGCTTAGTGAGTCGAATCCACCAGGAGCTCTATGGGAGAAAAGACCTGGGATGAATGCTCCTATGAAGGTTAAACAAACAAACCTACAGCCTTGCATCAACTCGATTCTAATTCACCCTTATATGGTAGAGGAGAACCACTCCACAGGGTATCCAGGGCTGGTAATCTTTGGGGGCGCAGACTGTCTTATCTTTGTCCTGCACAGTGGCTGGTGGGTTCACATCACCGACCTCTCAGTGATGCTTAACCCACTGCACAATAGGGTTCCCGCAGTCTAGGAAACCCTATGGAGCAGATCTATACTGTTCTACAGGGTCATTATGAATCAGAACCGACTCAACAGCACACCAACACCAACAACTCTATGAGGGAACATCAAAAAGTTTGTGGAAAATGCCATTATTACTATTAAGTTTTATTTGCTTATTTTATTGTGAATTGAATGAAGGTCTACAGACAAGATCCTAAGATTACATTCAACAAATTACGTACTTGGTTTCATCTCAGTGGCTGCAACCCCCTCCCTGCAACAAGTTACCCAGCTTCCTCCCTGTGCTTCCTTATTTCCATTCCACCCACCTGCCCAGTCCTTCTCAACTTTGTCCTTAGGTAAATGTTGCCCTTTTGACTTTGAATGATTGGCTATTTCATCATTCATAGTGAGCATATCTTACTAGTGTTGCTGTCCCCTCTGTACACCTATCTGCTGTTTGACTGAAAGGTGGAACAAGTTGAGTTCCTTTCCAGACCTTTCCAGTGGTTGAGGGCCATAGTCTCAGGCTCTTACAGTCTCTTTCTGACCAGTAAACACAGTCTTTTTTTAAAAAAATAATAATTTTGGGTTTTGTCCCACATTTCTGTTGCTCTATCCAGGCACCATCTCGTTCTTCTGGTCTGAGAGTCATGGAGACTGATGTTCACATGTGCCTTAGTCCACTGGACTAATTGATTCCAACCTTCTTCAATTCTTATCACTCTTCTTTCTCCTGCACACGGTGAGACCAATAGCTGCACCTGAGATGACCACTCATGAGCTTTTAAGATCCCAGATACTATTCACCAAAGTAAGATATAGAACATTGTCTTTGCGGACTGTGTTATGCCAGTTGACCATGGTGTCCCCTCAGACTATGGTCCTGAGCCCAAGATCCAACAACTTATTGCCTTAAGATGTTTGATGGTATCTAAGAAGTTTTCATCATTTTGCCTGCTGTATGCTCCACCACATTTATAGTTGTGTTTGTAGGAAAGGTAAATGCCTATGTACTAATACTCTCTTTCAATTCTTTCAAACTCACTTATTTGTGGTGTATGTATACACATACATACACACACACACACACACACACCCCACTCTTCTTCCCATACCCATTCAATCTGTGTCTCTGTCTACATGTCTACCTGCAGCACATTGTTGTTCCAAGGGTGTGTACACATCACTATTTACTTCTATTCCCTTTAGCCTTGGCGCACCTCCCTGTATCGTCACCTGTCTTCATTCTTCTGCGAACCTTCCTCTTCTTGTTTATAGTTATTCTTGTTTAGTGTCCTCCCCGTCACCCGAGTTAACCCATGTCTACCCTTTAGCCAGTAATCACTGTCCTTTCCTTCCCACCCCTGATAACCATCAAAGAATGTTTCTTTAATAGTAAAGCCTTCTCTTGAGTTTTTACGACAGTGGTCTCATGCAATAGTTGTTCTTTTGTGATTAACTTATTTCCCTCAGCGTAATGCCCTTTGGTTTCATTCATGTTAGAAGGCAGTTTGTAGATTCATTGTTATTCTTCAGTTTTGTGTATGTACCAAAGTTTACTTCTTCTGTTGATGGACATTTAGGCTGGCCCATCTTTTTGCCTCTTTGAACAGTGCTGTGATGAACACTGATATTGCATGTATCTACTCACGTCCTGGCTCTAATTTCTTGTGGGATCTATACCAAGTAGAAGGAATGCTGGGTCATAAGGTATTTTTGTTTCCAACTTTCTGAGGAAGCACCATAATGTTTTCCAGAAGGTTAAACCATTTTACAGTTCCACCAGCAATACAGGAGGGCCCCAGTCTCTTGCCAGCATCAGTTATTTTCTGTTTTTTTGAACTTTGCTATTAATGCTGGGATGAGATATCTCATTGTTTTGATTTGCATCTCTCTAAGGAGCTCTGGTAGCGTAGTGGTTACGAATCGGGCTGCGAACCTTAAGGTCAGCGGTTCGAAACTACCAGCCGCTCCGCGGGAGAAAGATGAGGCTTTCTACTCCCGTAAAGATTTACACCCTCGGAAACCCTGTACAGGGTCGCTATGGGTCGGAACCGACTCGATGGCACTTAACAACAACAACAAAATGGCTAATGATCGTGAACATTTCTTCATATGTTTGTTGGCTGCCTGAATGTCTTCCTTGGTGAAATGTTTTTTGGAAAATTCCATTATCTTTTCATTCTATTTTTTCCACAAATTTTTTGAAGGCCTCTTGTACTGCTAACCTTTTGAAGAACTACTGGACTATTTTCTGCACTACTTTACATTCTCACCAGGATTGTATTAAAAAATAAACCTCCCTGCCTTTCTCGGATGGCGGCTGTTTATGCTGGACGTGTGGCCAGAGACGGGAAAGGATCACATGGAACCTCGGCAACC